ATGTTTTACTTTTCTGTTGAAGCTAAACATACCATTCGTTGAGCTTTCAGAGATCGTACCATGAACATCGGCACCAGTGGAACGCATATTTTCTACCATTAACAGAATGTGGGCATACCAAAAAACTTACCTACAAGTACCGTGAAATCGATTTTATTTGTGAAGATTGATTAAAAATTTTCTTGTTTGGAATATTTCATTCACTTAAAATCGCACCCCGAGCTTCTTCAAAAAATCAGTTAACAAGAAAAATACGTCAGACCAGACGTCTTCAACAATTCCGGAAACTCTGCCCACTTCATCAACTGATATACAAAAGACAGAACCAAACAGTGATTAAATCTTTTTATCATTTTTAATATTACTTTTCTTTCTCTCTTATCATTTCAATTCTTAATACCCTGAACAGGGTGCATTAAGTTTTCCACCAAGTTTGTACCACCCAGAAGGAAACTTTGCGAAATTAATTTGAAATAATTTTTAATATCTTTTTAATTTTTACTGAGTATATGTGTGCCTCACACCAGAGAACGTATATCATAGAGAAGGTTCAATTGCGGACCAGCGTGTGAATTGTCAAAACCCAACAAGATTTTAATAGTGGATTTCACCACATCTGGCTCGGAAGGAGAAATTTTAACAGTGGCGCGTAAACAGAGCTGAGCATTGTCTGAAAATTATGTTCAGAGACTTGCTTTGATATTACAGCTGCATGTTAGCCTTTTGGCTTATATTTTTATACGTTTATATGCAATCATATTTATTCATATGAATATCATTTTGCGAATTTTTATGAATGCATGCAAAACTGATAAGATCTTTTAAATTATGAAACTTCGAAATAATATTTATAGTCAATTTGGGCATTTAATAATTTTATATAGTTTTTACCTAAAATACATTCCTAATAAATATTTAATATTATAATAATAGAGATTAAATTTATTACAATATATGTATGTATGTACATCTTTTATCATATTAATCTTATATAGTCATATGTATGTACGTATGTATTTGAATGTACGCATTCAGAAAGTCAAATCATGATTTTATCACTTATCAATACACTATATGTGCGCGCATTGATTTATATATACACGCATATATCTACATAAAATTGCCGAACAAATAATGCATACACAAACCAACCGACATATGTGTGTGCGTACACATGTAAATATGTCACCCGCAAAAACTACAAACATTGTTCTACAAAAATAACAATCGTCACAAGTCAATATGTCAGCCAAATAGGCGAAGCCCAAATTTATAGTAAATAACACAACAACATTTTCATTCATGAACGCAGGCGTACTTTTAACAAGCAACCTCGCTTCATTCATAAAAACAGATACCCTCACATCCCCCCGAGCATGCTTTTGCCAAAAGCGTCTTTTCACGACGATGGCAAAAGCTAAAAATCATAAATTGAACAAATTTCTGATATTCCCTCTAGAAGGGAAAAGTGACAACCCCTCAAATATGAGTATTAAAATATTTTACAATAAAAGTGACAACATAGTATATTTGTCGATTTACAATTCAAGAAACTTTTTAAAGAAAATATTCAATATTCCTCTGATTTATGCATACAGTAAACCTCGGTTAAGTATCAATACTCCAATCCCTCTTATCTGCCTGTGTCATGCTGCATCTCAGGTTTTTTTTTTTAATTTTTTAAGGAAAACGGTTATATTTTTTTATTAAATACATAGATTTTATTTTTTTGGTACCACTCCTTAAGTACCACAATCGCTTATGTACCACAAAGCACAAAAAATCTGCATCTTTGGTTTTGGCACTTAACCGGGATTGACTGTATTTGTCAAAGAATGTGTGTACAAAAAATTCGAATATTTACATACGCACATTCTTTGACNTTATGTCAAGCAAGAGGAGTACAAAATCAAACCCAGAAATTTGACTGAACTGAAGCAGTCCTTTAAATACATATTTAATGCAATCCCGACTTCAACCTTTCAGCCCGCATTAATTTGCTAATTAGGTGTCGCATATGCGTGGCTAAGCATGGAGGAATAATTAATTGTATAAAATAAAATTAAAATTTTCTATACAATACAACAAAAATTGATAAAAAAGAAACTTAATACGGTTAATTTTTATAGCACGATTCGTGAGCCGCCCTGTATATGCAGAATATCTTAAAATTATATGCAAAGTCGTTTGCGCATTGTAAATATACGAATCTGTAAGCGTACATTTCTTAACATTGAATTTAGCATTATTTTTCTCATTTAACATTCAAAATGCTCAATTCTGTTATTTTGCGCTCCGCAGGGGTAAAATTCTGGTGAAATCCGCTTATAATTTGTTTGAGGTGAGATCCTCTTAACTTGGCGAATAACCCTCCGTCAAGAGGAACATTTTGACAATCGGCACACCATGAACCTTCTCTATGATATACGTTCTCTGCTAGCACGAGCAAAAATCCTTTTATCGACAAACAAATCTGTGAATAAATTATTTGTTATACCTGTGACGGACATGTAGTAACAAGATCATAATACTAATATTATAATATTTTGTTTACTACGTTGATGACACTATGCATTTCAAGAAAAGTGTGTAGAAATATCTTATTTTCCATTTTATATCATACTTTTTGAACTCATTTTGACAGAATATTTTGAAGAAGCTTTTACAAACCTTTTTTAGCTGTGTTTTTTTTACAAGGTCTGTTCAAACAATAACGGGAACTTTCGTTTTTTGAAAAAAAATTTAATATCTATTCAATTGTCTATATGAGTGTTGTCGCCTTCAAAATTTTTCCCAGCGCTTCTTCCAATCGGCGAAACTCTTCTCAAACTCTATTTTTGCGATGCGCTTTTAATGCCATCTATGCTTATAAAGAGCCTTTAAGGTTCTCTTTATTTTTGCAAATAGCCATACTTGGCGATTATGGAGGTTGGAGCATCGTTATAATGTTTTTTTTTGTCCAAGAACTCACGAACAAATTCTTAATTCATATATTAATAATTTCATAAAAACATGTCTGACCTCAGCGGTTGCTACAGACAAAATAAGCAATGAATACATCTGAAAATTGTATCCTACTTCAGGGGTTTGTATAAGAACATAAAATAAAAAAGAAATTAAAAATTATGACGACTCATTATATTAGGGATTTGAAGTATCTTTACCAATTCCAATCATATTCAGTGCTAAACCTCATAATTTTTAGCAAAACTTGCCCACTTAACTTCATCAAAATATCGCACACTTTGACCAACCTAATCGGTCTAGTTGGTCAGTCAGACATCATTATATGGGGCAGAGAAAGCTGATTGCATTAACTTTTAAAAAAAACAAACACTATAAGTGTGTGGGGGATGTAATTATAATTGAAAGAGGAATGAAAATTAAATATAAATTAATTTTAAATTATTGATGGCTACCTATATGCACATCGAAAATAGTACATATTTCTACTACTAATTAGTTCAATTAAAAATAAACAAAGATTAGTCTCTCAACACAATGGAGTGCACAATACAAGGAAACTTTAGCGAATACAAAGAAACTAGATGGTGTGCTCACGCGAGAACATGCCACATAAAGTTGTCCGTTGGAAAAGCATGGTGCACCCAAATCTAAGCCACAAACAAACAACGTTTGGCCTTCTGAGTTATTCATCGCCATTGCAAATGTCAATCTAATTGGAATTTTCGCCTCGAAACTTGCCATTCAAAATGGTAGCATCGTTAACGTTTTTCTTTTATTTTTTTACAACTGATCTTGTGCCATTGCAAAGCAGTGGTCCCTGGTAACAACTGTTTTATGTTTGAATTTAATTCATTGACGTCCACATTTTTGCTGCCAAAATCAATCTTTCTGCCAGCCAACCTTATATTTCGTGTATACATCGAGAAGTATATTGTCCATGAGAGTATTTTGTGAGTCGATGATAGTGCAGAAATCCGTCGGTAAATTTATGCATCCAGTGTTTTTACGTACAGCTGTTATACATTGGCAATAGCTAATAATTGTTTTGTGAAAGTTTCGGCAGATGAATCTTGAAGCATGTAAACGTGCATGTTCACTGCAAGTAGTAGTGGAAGAATTCACGATTTACATATATCTGTGTTGATTAAATCAGATTCACTTTGATTTGGTGAACTCATACTAAATTAACTGATTGGTAAATTCGGTACGACAGTGCAATGATCCTTAATAGCTCAAATCATATGTAATATCAATGCTTCATTGTACATTGCAACACGGAATGATATCGTTAGAGCGTCGCATCTTGTGCGAGGTCGATACAATATATCATCAGTTGTCGAATTTTTGAGATCTGGCCGGGAAACATGTCGTCGATACTATAGCAAATAGTAGACGAATTGATATTTCTGTACAGTATCATGCTGCTTCAGCAAGCATACTGTCCCACCCAAGAATGATAGGATACAAGATTACAACCGTCATGTTGTGAGGTAATTCTTTTATGTTAAAAAGAAGAAACATAGAACGGCATGTAAATTGTAAACAAAACACTTTATTAGTTTATATTGAAAAAATTTTACTGAAATAAATAATATAATATTACGAGAAAATATTTTGGTCATTTTTAAATAAATACTTTTATCTATTGACAACATAATTGCAATTAAGTGAATGATTGCGATTGCGATGTATCCAGCAGTAATTTCATTTATTATACACAAACATATACAAATATTAATAATAGTTCAGATGTATTTAAATGAAATTATAGTGAAAAGATTCTGAAAGTAAAATTTTTATAATTATTAAAGTAATTTCTTCTATAAAAAATTAACAATTTTTTGCAACTTTAACCGAAGAAAAACTGAAAAAACGTTTTTAATGGTTTATTTGCATAATAGTTATTGCTACTTGCAACTTTCATTTTTCAAAATCAATATATTATATACTTTTAAATTTTAATAAATACAACCTTCGCAATCCGAATTCCTTTTATCCATTTACTTTTTGGCAATTATGTTGTCAATAGATAAATTTATTTATTTGAAAATAAGCCAAATATTTTCTAGCAACTTTATTCTATTCGTTTCAGTAAGTTTTCACTATAAACTAATCTATTAAATCTATTTCACAAATTAACAAAACTGTTTACGTTTTTGCATACAATTTACATGCTGTTCTATGCTTCTTTTTCTCAATTAAAATTAAAAAGAATTACGTCGGCTTTGGCCGTTTTGATTCGCTATGAGAATGAAATTAACTTGACTTAATGAGAATAAAATAAGGCAACTTAGCCTCCAGATGTCTCTCAGTAAAATTATTATCGAAGTTCATAAATCGTCAACCAGTAACAACTTTATGTTTAAATGTGGTAATCAAATAGCAATTGTGTTTCCAATTTTTATGCACACATTTTCAGTACATCTTGAACTATACTTCTCAATCGAACTTACCGAACGTAATCAATATATCCTCGCAAGTTGTTATAATCAAACACCTGGAAATATTTTCAACAAAATGTTGTTTATAAAATGTTATTTTTGATTTTAACATTAGTTTGAAAGAATTGTGAATCCACTACAATCAATCAAAAACACGGAAAGGTTATATACTCATCGGAACATATGGAACGATGTCCTCATTTTATAGTACCAAACTTATATTTTATTCAAAGGAAAAATGCAAACAACAAATGGACATTATTTGGTCTTGAGACTAATGTATTTGTAGAGATGGCGATGGCTAAACGAATGGAAAACTGTAGCGTTCTGAATAGAATCGTAGATTCAGATGGTGTCATTGGCAAACTTGGCAACAGGATCATTTTCACTTCAATGTTTTCAATTAATAAATATTGCTTTAAGAATATTTCCGGTGATCTTTGTGATCAAAAAAGTGTACCGTTGAATAAACGAGTATCCTCAACCGAAGATTATTTGGTGGATTTTACACGTTCATTTTCTAGACATCAGAATGCCTGATACCAACTGTTGTATCTGGAAATTATGTTCTCAAACATTTTTAGCTGCGAATAAAGACGGTTAAGGATTTTAAGAGTTTATCACGGACAAGAAATGTTTAAGACACAGTTTATTCGTTTTACTTATGGTGTTTTTTTGTCTCGATATAATTAATTTCTATACAGTAAAGTTTGCTATATAATGAACAAATTTTAAAGCTGGAAATTCAAGCCTCAAAAGGCTTTGTCTCCATATGGTGAATTTTTTCAAACACGCATCGAAGTAGCACTTCAATTGAGAAAAGTTATTGATTATTAACAAAGTTAAATAAAAGAAGAGAACAAAAAAAGATATTGCTAATCATTTTGGAAGTCTGCCTAGCACTTTATCAAATATTTTAAAAAATAAAAAAGTGATTTAAAATAAGGAAGGAAGGGCTAAGTTCGGATGTAACCGAACATTTTATACTCTCCCAAAGTCAAATGGTATACTCGTTTGAGATTTCTTTGTGGATTGACTGATATTTTCGGTAGAAGGTCAACTATAGGCACGGGGGTCCACATATCTAGTACTTAGGGGCTTGAACAGTTTTGGTTCGATTTAGACAATTTTTGGTCACAAGGTGGCATACTTTAAATGTATTATTCACGCAAAGTTTTACCCCGATATAATCATTGTTGCTTGATATGCATAGTGGAAAGGGAAAGAATCATATGGAATTGAAAATGGTGTTATATGGGAAATAGGCGTGGTTGTAGTCCGATTTCGCCCATTTTCGCACTATAACATAGTGCGTCCCGTTATGCACCAAATTTGGTTAAAATCGATTAAACAGATCCCAAGATATGGGTTTTCTCCTAAAAGTGGGCGGTGACACGCCCACTGACTAATTTTCAACGCGGTTCCTATAAAGTCATCTCATACCATCCCAGAGATAAAATTTATTGTCTCTGGGGTGTTTAGTGCTTGATTTATCGCGCTTTTAGTAGTTTTTAACAGTACCGTTATATGGGGAGTGGGCGGAGTTGCCACCAGATTTCAACTATTTTCACACTGTAGGTAGAAGTTCTAAAAACATTTGCTTCCAGTGAATTTTGTTATTATAGCATTAGCGGTTTAGGAGATATGCACATTAAACCTATTAGGGGCGGGACCACGCCCACTTAAAAAAAAATTTAACTGCAGATGCTTTCCCTAATGTGATCCTGTATACCAAATAACAGTCTTGTATCTTATTGCGGAGCTTAGTTATGGCAGTTTATTTGTTTTTGATTAATGGCGTTTTGTGGGCGTGGCAGTGGTCCGATTACGCCCATCTGCAATACCAACCGTCTCACGGTACCAAGAAACATGTCTACCAAGTTTCATAAAGGTATCTCAATTTTTACTCAAGTTAGGTAAGAATCTTCCTTTATCTGGATTATTATTAAAGCAAAAGGCCAAAGATTTTCCTGAAGCAGTGCACACCATGAATTTGAGACAAGTTCAGGTTGGTTAGACAAGTTCAAGAGATGGCATTGTATTATTAAAAAAAACGTTATGTGCGGAAAGTGCTGATGCTAACATCCAAAATCGTGAAGAATGAGTAATGAACGTGTTACCGGGATTAATTGAGAATTGCAACGCAACGACATCTTTCATGCCGATGGGACTGTTATTCAAAAATATGAAATGCTTTGGTGGACAACAATGCTGATTTGTTTTTATGATTCCAAGGGTATTGTCCACAAAGAATTGGTTCCACCCGACCAAAACGTTAATGCGGTATTCTACCTTGGAGTTTTGAAGCGTTTGGTACGCCGTATTCGACGTGTTCGGCCCGAATATCGCGAAGATGGAAGTTGGCGTTTGTTGCACGAAAATGCGCCGTCTCATCGATCGACGCTTGTGGCCGATTGTTTGACCAAAAATCGCATTTTAACAATCAACCACTCCCCGTATTTACCTGATATGGCACCGTGCGATTTCTACCTTTTCGGAAAAATGCATTTGCCGATGAAAGGAAACCGTTATGCAGACGTGGAGGCTATTCAAAAGGCTTGCATCGGCATAGTGGCTGCCATACTGGGCAACGAGCTAAAACACTCGTTCGACATGTTTTGGACCGTACAAAAAGCTGTATTAAAGCAGGAGACTATTTTTAATAAAATTAATTAATTTTGCAGATAAAACCATTTGTTCTGTCTTTTTTTTTTAAAGTCCTGTTTACTTTGGAACGCACCTTGTATATCCTTGTTCCTGTAGCTTATTGGAGGAAGGAATGCTAAGGAAGTCAACAGAATTCTAGAAGACGAGTTGACGGATACACATGCTATGGCGCACAAAAATTATTAGCGATAAAATGAAAGCAAAATACGACAAGGTAATGAGCTCTGAGGGTTTTATTCAAGGCGATTGGGTATTGTTATATAGCCCACAACGAAAGAAAGGGTTGTCTCCCAAATTACAGTGTATTTGGAGAAGACCTTACCAGGTTATTAAACGACTATATCGCATACAAACCATTGGAAGACCAAGGAATAAAATGAAGGTAGTTCTAGAGGAATGTTCAAGAGGCGAAGTTTTGTTAAAAATCTACAATATAACGGCTGCCGGATTGTGCAGCAGACACAGTTCTAATTAGAGTGTTGCCATGTAAAGGGAAATTAAGCTATAAGCAATAAGTTGTAAACTCTAATAGCGAGCGATAAGTGTTAGGTTGTTGGAATTAGAAATAAACATAAGTGTATAGCAATGAACTGAGAATTAAATTGTGATCGAACTCAAGAGTGAGTTACAAGGTAGACGATTTGTCGAGAAATCCGTTACAATATATTATATTACCCCCTCTCATTTATACAGCTAGGTTGATAAAACAGTTTGTAAAAGCTTTAAAACAAGATAAAGAATACAATATATTTGTAAAATATCAATTACTTGCATCGGTTGTAATAGTGAATTCCTTATCGTATTCTTGGAATTTTTGTATTGGATGAGACGAGATTAATGTCTTCATGTTTTCGAAACTAGCTACTACATACTGCGAATCTTTCGGATTTAATGCATAACCTTTTTTTATATTTTAGCATAATAGGATATTTTCGAGTAATTTTAATAAATTTCCTAAATAGACTAGAAATCCTTTAAGCTGCTTTGAAATGTGTAGCAGAGAACGTATATCATAGAGAAGGTTCATGGTGTGCCGATTGTCAAAATGTTCCTCTTGACGGAGGGTTACTCGCCAACTTAAGAGGATCTCACCTCAAACAAATTATAAGCGGATTTCACCAGAATTTTACCCCTGCGGAGCGCAAAATAACAGAATTGAGCATTTTGAATGTTAAATGAGAAAAATAATGCTAAATTGAATGTTAAGAAATGTACGCTTACAGATTCGTATATTTACAATGCGCAAACGACTTTGCATATAATTTTAAGATATTCTGCATATACAGGGCGGCTCACGAATCGTGCTACAAAAATTAACCGTATTAAGTTTCTTTTTTATCAATTTTTGTTGTATTGTATAGAAAATTTTAATTTTATTTTATACAATTAATTATTCCTCCATGCTTAGCCACGCATATGCGACACCTAATTAGCAAATTAATGCGGGCTGAAAGGTTGAAGTCGGGATTGCATTAAATATGTATTTAAAGGACTGCTTCAGTTCAGTCAAATTTCTGGGTTTGATTTTGTACTCCTCTTGCTTGACATAAACCCATAAGAAAAGACCAAGCGGTCGCAAATATTCTTATACATATATATATGTATAATTATGTGTGCATGTAAACAAATATGAAAGTACCCATTATAATTGTTAATTTGTCTATACGCAACGTATGTATGTAAATATGTACACTCATTGTTTCATGGGAAATCAGAACCATACACACTCTTACAAACATACATCGCATATGGCAAGTGCAAAATCAACCCTTATTCATATACAACGTGGCATGCGTAAATGGAAACAAAGTCAACAAGTCATGTGCATATATACGGACAGATGTGTGTACAAAAAATTCGAATATTTACATACGCACATTCTTTGACAAATACAGTCAATCCCGGTTAAGTGCCAAAACCAAAGATGCAGATTTTTTGTGATTTGTGGTACATAAGCGATTGTGGTACTTAAGGAGTGGTACCAAAAAAATAATTTCTATGTATTTAATAAAAAAATATAACCGTTTTCCTTAAAAAATTAAAAAAAAAAAACCTGAGATGCAGCAAGACACAGGCAGATAAGAGGGATTGGAGTATTGATACTTAACCGGGGTTTACTGTATACATAAATCAGAGGAATATTGAATATTTTCTTTAAAAAGTTTCTTGAATTGTAAATCGACAAATATACTATGTTGTCACTTTTATTGTAAAATATTTTAATACTCATATTTGAGGGGTTGTCACTTTTCCCTTCTAGAGGGAATATCAGAAATTTGTTTAATTTATGATTTTTAGCTTTTGCCATCGTCGTGAAAAGACGCTTTTGGCAAAAGCATGCTCGTGGAGATGTGAGGGTATTGTTTTTATGAATGAAGCGAGGTTGCTTGTTAAAAGTACGCCTGCGTTCATGAATGAAAATGTTGTTGTTGTGTTATTTACTATAAATTTGGGCTTCGCCTATTTGGCTGACATATTGACTTGTGACGATTGTTGTTTTTGTAGAACAATGTTTGTAGTTTTTGCGGGTGACATATTTACATGTGTACGCACACACATATGTAGGTTGGTTTGTGTATGCATTATTTGTTCGGCAATTTTATGTAGATATATGCGTGTACATATAAATCAATGCGCGCACATATAAGGTATTGATAAGTGATAAAATCATGATTTGACTTTCTGAATGCGTACATTCAAATACATACGTACATAAATATGACTATATAAGATTAATATGATGTACATACATACATATATTGTAATAAATTTAATCTCTATTATTATAATATTAAATATTTATTAGGAATGTATTTTAGGTAAAAACTAAATAAAATTATTAAATGCCCAAATTGACTATAAATATTATTTCGAAATTTCATAATTTAAAAGATCTTATCAGTTTTGCATGCATTCATAAAAATTCGCAAAATGATATTCATATGAATAAATATGATTGCATATAAACGTATAAAAATAT